CCTCATCTCCTTAAATGAATTGTTTAAATTGAATAGTTGTCATTTGATATTATTTCTATCTCATTCATGTGATTCTTGACCTGCCATTGTGTATCTGTTCTTACCGGTCGAAGCAGATGGCCACTTGTTCTGAGCCTGGTTCTGCTAAAGGTTTCTTCCTCATGAGGGAGTTTTTCCTTTCCACTGTCACCTTCATGTTTGCTCAAGATGAGAGTTCTGTGATGGAGTTAAACTCAAAGCAGTCTGCTCCTCAGACAAATAATGTTAAATTATTATTTTTATATATGAATGTTTCTGTTCAGTGCCCTGAGATGACTTCTGTTGTGACTTGGCGCTTTATAAATAAACCAAATTGAATTGAATTGGGATCTGATTCAGTTCTGAATGTCACTGTTTGGGCTCTGGAGCGCTTCCACAAATCATTGTCCGTAAACACAGTTCGTTGTGCCATCAGCAAGTCCTGGTTAAAGCTCTATCATGCAGAGTTGAAGACATGTGTGAACACCATCCAGAGACGCCGCCGTCTCCTCTGGGCCAAAGCTCGTTAAAACTGGACTCAGGCAAAGTGGAAAATTAAATTGAACTTTGAAACTCTTTTTGGAAACTACACGTCCGTGTCCTCCGTCCTAAAGAGCACCCAAGTCGAAAGGCTGCCTCTCTGAAGATATGGGGGTACATTTAGTTTCCCTGGCTTTGGCAGCTTGCACTTCTAGAAATGCATCACAAATCAGAGACGTATACAGGAATAAACTATAGATTTATGAAATTTTGTTTTTATTTACATTTTACACAATGTCCCAACTGTTTGGAAGCTGGGGATGCATTTTAAACGCATCTCAAAACAATCTTTAATGAATGTGACTGTAAATACACAACTTTGTTATAGTTTTGTGGAAAGTACAGTATGCACCGTATTTTTCGGACTATAATTTTGTTTCACTTAATGCGCCTTATGTATGAAAACAGACCTGTTCATTGATATTGCGCCATGTAATCTGGTGCGCCGCGTAGTCCGAAAAATATGGTAAAAACAATTATTTCTCAATCTAGATTCTTGAATGTTATGAGCTGTTTGTTCAACAAAACTAAGAAAAGGTTGAGTTGTGTTGCTTTTTTTTTTTACTAACATGTTTATGTGAAATGTTAGCAAAGTTGCTAATAATGCGTGTCTTTTCAGAACAACAGCTACCTTTGTAAAAACAAGTTGCATAGAAGGTCCATGTGTAAATAACATGCAAATGATGCAACACAACGCCCAGTGTTAAGTTATATTAGCAAAGAGAAATTATTTCTCATTCCAGCACAAAATCCCTTTTCAAATATTACAAATCAGGCACTAATGAGCTGTTTTGAAAATAAAAAAGTTATTGTTCAACTTTTGTAAAAAAAATTAGAAGTATAAACATAAAAAAAAAAGAAAGAAATGACAGTTATTTAAAATAAAACACAATGTTGTCTGCAGAAACACATCATGTATATGGGGGTGCCTTTTATAAAGTTACACAGTCAGAAATTAACGGTAATATTTTGGTTTATTTAGCCTTTCATAAGAAAAAATACTTTTTTTTTCAAAGTCATGTTTTCACCATGTTATTCATATGTTTATAAATTTTATAGTTCCAAACTAAATATTTAATTTACAAGCTAAATATTTAGTTTATGAACTAAATATTTAACTTGCAAGTTTAATATTTAGTTCGGAAACTAAATATTTAGGTCTAAATTAAACATTTAATTTCCAAGCTAAACATTTAATTTCCAAAATTAATTTGCTAACTAAATATTTAGCACAAACCTAAATATTTAAGCAAAATTTTGAGGTTCAGGCAAAATATTTAGTTAGCAAATTAATTTAGGAAATTCAATGTTTAGCTTGGAAAATAAAAAATTAGGTCCGAGCTATTAGCAAATTAAATATTTAGTTTAGAAATTAAATGTTTATTTTGGAAAGTAAATATTTAGCTTGGACAATAAATATTAAGTTTGGAAATTAAATGTTTAGTTTTGAAAATTGGAAATTAAATATTTATTTTACAAGCTAAATATTTATTTTTCTAACTAAATATTTAACTTGCATGTTAAGTATTTACATTGTAAACTGAATATTTAGCTTGTAAATTAAATATTTAACTTGGAACTATGACATTTATAAATGTATGAACAACATAGTGAAAATATGACTGAAAAAAATTCTTATGAATGGCTAAATTAGCCAAAATATTGCTGTTAATTTTTGACTGTGTAACTTTACAAACGTCGGCCCATACATGTATTCATTATACTTTGAGAAATATTTCCTGTAAAACAGAAACGGAGATTTATTGAAAAAGAATAAACTAAACGAAAAAAAAAAAACAGAACTTATTAAAATTAGATGCAGCCAGCAGATGTCACTGTCCGACTTTGACACATGAACGTTGTTTAATTTTTAAATAAAGTGCAGATATTTTTTGTTTGTTTTATTTATTAATGTCTTTTTTTTAATGCTGCTCATAAAGATGTAGAATTGTACCCGAGCCCCAAAAAAAGCTCTTTAAAAGTCTGATTTTAAAGCAGCAGTTGACTTTACTGAAGTTACTCTTTAATATTAAAGAAGATTCCCTTATTTTTTGTGTGAGAGTTGTTTATTCTAAAAAGAATAATGGCATACAGATTGTCTGGAGATCTGAAAAAAGATGTTTGGTGTGTATTTTATTATAAAGGCTGGGGCCTGGTTTTGTGAGTGGAGCTGCAGCTTGTGCCTCTGGACCTCTGCGATCAAACGAGCTTCAGTTAAACATCTGATTTATGTCTCACAATTTGCATAAAACCCAAAACCATGTGGCTTGTTTTTACAATCTGTTTTGATAGTGATAATCATTTCAAGACAGAGTGAAATCACAACAATCTGTAGCTAAGAAAAGCCGTTGTCCTCCAGTAACGAGGATTAATGTTCTCGTCTGTTGTCATTACACTGAGTGCAACTCTCTATAAATCACTGCGACTGATAAAACAGAGAAACCCATAACACGAGAACAGACTAACAAATCACCAACTTGATATGAGATGAAAACTTTTAATGCTGCAGTATTATACAGATGTAAATAAATGTGTTTGTACCCTTTTATCAAATAAAGAAAAACCCACAAACCTCACAAATGAGGAAAAACATTTTTTTTATACAATCACTGTAATCGAGCAATCTCTAACTAAGACTTTTGCACTGGTTGACAGTTTGGCCCACTCCTTGTGAATGAAAGACTCCAGCTGCCTCAGGTTTGAAGCGTGTCTACTTCAGATTCATCTCCTTCCACAGATGTTCAACAGAATTTAGATCAGGGGTTAAGCCACTTCAGAATAGTCCAACATTCTGTTCGTAGCCAGTCTGGAGCGTTTTAGCTGTGTGTTCTGCTCAGAGGACCCATGATCTGCAACTGAGACACTATTTTCTGACACTAGGCAGCACTTCTTTTGCTCTAGAATGCCTTGATAGTCTTGAGATTTCATTGTACACTGCGCAGATTCAGATGCAGCAAAACGTCCACAGAACATAACCTCCAGGTCTCACCATGTTCTTGTCCTTGCTGTCTCTGTCAACATAGAACAGATGGGACTTGTTCACAAAAAGCTCCAGTTTTGTCTCATCTGTTCAGAGGACATTCTCCATACAAACATTGTGACGTGTCACTGTGAATTTTAGCAAATTCCAGTTTAGCTTTTATTTTTTTTAATTATGATTTGCTTTAACAGTGGTGTCCTCCATTTGGTTGTCTTCCATTAAGTCCATTTTGGCTCAACAAGTAAAAGATGGTGTGATGTGACACTGATGTACCTTGACCTTGGAATTCACTGTTAATTTCTTTAGAAAGGCTCTTGGTTCTCTTTTTTATTGTTCGTCTCTTTAATTCTTTATCAATTTACCTTTTGTGCAGCTGTTCCCATATAAACATGTAGGATGCTCCTTTATTTGTCAATCATTTTCGTTCTAAGCTCATGGGTCAAGTCCTTATCTTTCTGTGGTCCATATTCTGCATGTTACACACTGTAGAGCTGTCATTTCTAACCCGGGCCCAAAGCCCGGCCTGGCCCGACCCGAATATGGGCCAGGCCAGGCCATAATAATGTGCTGGATGGGCGGACCGGGTTGGTGTCGGGCTTTTTATTGTGTCAGCGGATGCGTGCGGCTGATGATCCAATTATATGGCAACATGGCTTGCCATACATACAAGTTGTATAGCAACATGGCTTGCCATACTATCACCAGCTGCACGCGACCATTTGACCGTGCGCTGACTGGCCTTGAAAGAGGTTAAAAGTTCAGTTAAGCTTCAAAAGGGACTACCAATACTGCCAGGCAGCGATCCATCACCCATATGAACGTTCAGCCGCTGCACTCAGCGAACGCGCGCGGCCGATGACCCAAACAGGTGAGATCACAATACAGACATGTCAGAGCAGGGTCCGTGTCTGAATAATGCAGAATGCAAGCAGAAGCTCTTTGACGGCCATGAAAGGACAAACGCCCCCTCAGTGCCGATCTTGCGCACCCTTAGCCGCACGCGTCCGACGACTGTTAACTATATAAGCAATCAAAGCTCAATTAATAACGTTAGAGTTTTTTTTCGGGTTCGGACCTGTAATTACTATTAATTCATCGGGTCGGGTGGGGTTCGGAAATGATGGCTACAGGCTGAGGCCGGGTCGGATTTTTTGGGCCTGAATGCAACTCTAACACCCTGCGGCACCAAACAACACAGTACTTTTTACTCTTTAAATCTTGACAGAATGACATATTAAAAGATTGTTTCATAGTGGGGATTTCTTTCTTTAATAAAAAAGTACAAACTTATCCATGTCTGTATGGTATTAGTACCATTTTATTTATCTCCACCAACAATTAGAGCTTTGAAAGACCGTCTCAGAGTTCAACCCCTCCACTTGTCCATAAACCAAAGCAATCCTCCATGTGTGTTGCAAATATGAAATGGGCTGGTAGATGTAAAAGTTCAGCTCTAAATCACTCAGTCCCAGTTCAGTTGCAGTTCATTAGAGTCCAGGAAGTCAGAGGAGAAGACGCCCTCTGGAACTGACATGTCCAAAGGATTGATGCCCTCTGCTGGCACAGACAGGGTAAGGTCCAGCCAATCCATACTGTCCACGGTGGCGTTTGGCAGGTTCACAGAGGGTGGCATGTTTTCACTAAAGTTCACGTCCATCGCAACCGCAGGGAAGTTTAACACATCCATCAGCTTTAGTTTCTGTGCCTCTGTGTCAGTGACCAGCGTGGTGTCCAGAAGGTTCTCCATCTTGGTCTTAGAGGTCAGAGGGGCCAGGTCCGTTGAGGGGTTGAGTGGTGCTACAGGCATCTGGGCCACCTGTACTAGAGGAGGAGGTCGTGACAAAACTGTGTTGATGGGAAGGGTGGTGACACTGGCTGTCACTGGGATATGCTTTTCCAGGTTGGGTGGATTCTGTCTGGTGAAAGGGGACATCTCTGGAAAAAAAGCATGACATGGACTATAAATATATAAACACTTTATCTTCTCAGTTCGTTATGTCAAAAATGACTGCAAGATACCTCCACTCTCAATCAGCACATCAAACAAGTCATCCATCTGCTGACTCGCTGCATTGGGACCCTACACAAAAGCCAAATATCAGTATTTGTTTGAATGATTACTCTTAAAAAAATGTACGTACCGTATTTTTCGGACTATAAGGCGCACTCAAAATCCTTTAATTTTTATCATAACTCAACAGCGAGCTATATGTAGTAATTCTAGTTGTGCTTACTGACCTCGAACTGATTTTATGTTGTACAACGGAACAATGTTGAGAGTTATTGTGAATGAGTTGAATAAAGTTTGACTTATCTGTCTGTTTTTGTTTCTCTTAATGCGCCTTATAGTCTGAAAAATACGGTATAAGTTTGGTTTGTACCTGAGCAGCTGTCAACATGCTGCGTGTCTGTTTAACTGCGTCCTCGTAACGAGGTGGGTCTTTACTTTTTGACACATGGTTTGTGAGTTTTGTCTGCTGTGAAATCACAAAGGGTTGGCCAGAGCAGGGCGACTTTTAACAAAACAAAAAATCTCTTTAACCAAAGAAAACCAGAACATTAACTCAAGTAACAAAGACATGAGAATAATCTTCTACCCTCTTTGTGTTTGGGGCAACTTGGCAGGGTGAAGCACCGTCACATCCAATCTCTGGGAACATGTCGAGCACGTTTTGTGCTTTGATATTCATCGTCCACGTCTGGGAAAAAACAGACAACTTAACTAAGGCTTTCACATAATCAGCGTCAATAAAATACTGTGTGCAGTTCGTGCACAGGAAATAAAAACGCAGTGGCTCACGAGATATTTTGCCAACAGACAAACTAAGTATGCGTTGTGAATAGCTGTTAGCTACACCCACACCAAATTTTAACTTAAATTTTAGTAGAATTGACAGAATTGTTGCCCTTTTTACGTCTCTAACATCAGTTGGCTGTGGTGTCCATCTTAAAATGGATTATGTCCAAAAGTTCATCAGTTGTAGACGTACATCCAGTAATTACTTTCTACGAGTTTAAATAAAATCCATTCTTTGATTCATGAGATATTTGGCGAATGCTCCAAAAACATTATTCCTGCTTTGCCTTTGGCCATAGGCGGCTGTTAACTGATAAATACGTATTATAAATTAGGCAGCCTAACTTAAAATTGCACTACTATCATGATCTAAATTTTGCCTTATATCCATCCATCCATTATCTTTTACCCGCTTCTTCCATTTTTGGGTCACGGGGGTCACCGGTGTCCATGTCCAGCAATCACTGTGCGAGGGGCGGGGTCCACCCTGGACAGGTCGCAAGTCCATCACAGGGACACATAGAGACAAACGAGACAAACAACCATCCACTTTCTCACTCACACCTAGGGACAATTTAGAGTTACCAATCAGCCTAACATGCATGTTTTTGGACTGTGGGAGGAAACCGGAGCACCCGGAGAAAACCCACGCATGCACGGAGAGAACATACAAACTCCGCCCAGAAAGGCCCCTGGACTGGCATTTGAACCAAGGACCTGCTCGCTGAGAGGCAGCAGCTCTACCAGTTGTGCCACCGTGCTGCCCGCCTTATATTTATGGCACATAAAATAGCATTTATGATACACGATTATGGAAAAACACCCCAACAGCCACATATCCCTGCTGATCCTGGTGATGAGCTGACAGACTGTATGAGCGTACAGTTAAATAATATCTTACCTTCGTCAGTTGCCTAGTTTGACTTTGGTTTTGTTGCTGATTGGCGGCAGAAATATCTGTTTTCTGTGGCACGTGTCCAGATGTGTGGATGTGGCCTGGAGCTGGGCTGGTTGCAGGAGTTTGTAAGTGAATGCCTTTGGCAGGGAGCTCGACAGCCACTGCTAAGGCGGGAAGATATGTGGGCAGAAGGATCTGAGCTCCAGCCTTGACACACTGCAGAGTTTCAGCTTGTGTGATGGTCTGGTGAGCTATAATCAACTGCTTTGAAGTGCTTACGTGGTTCTGTTCTGCAGATTCCTCCTGTTTGACCCGTCCTGGCAGAACAGGAGAGCTGCAGGACACGGAGCAGGCTGATACGGTCCTGGTTTCCTCTTTCACCTGGACTGGAACCAGAGGGTTCAGGTGAGGTGGAGAGTCACTTTGCTGGCTTCTTTTCTCTACCTCCAGTTGCATCTTCAGTTTCTCCACCAGCTTCTGCTCCTGCTGGAGCTTCTTCATCAGCTCCTCTATCTGACGCTCCTTCTCATGCAGACGTTTGTCCTTTTCAGAGTCCTTCTGACTGGACTTTGTCTCAGAGGAGCACTCCTCATGAGATGAGTTCTTGCACTCAATAGTCCCCGCTGGAGTATCTGAAACCACCTTTGCTGAACTGTCTGTCTTATGGCAGTCTTCTATTCCCAGTTTAGACACTTCAGAAGCTATAAGGGAAACGGGCGACGAGAGCTTTACGTTTTCAGATTGCGGGGCTGTCTCTGTGGTAGCAGCAGGCTGGGTGCCAGAGCTCTCCCGAAACAGCTTCAGCCTCTCTATTAGATCCGTCTTAGTCCCAGAAACAGGCAAAGATCTGAGTTTTAGCTCCATTTTCAGCTCTGCCACCTGTAAAAGTAACAAAACATAAATCATCCCTCAAAATGCCAAACGCTTGTTCAACTTTCACCGCTCAGTCATGCGGTTTGGTAAAAGTGTAATGCGTCACCTTCATCTCGTCTAAATTTGCTGGTAAGAGATCTGGCTTGCGGTTTGTGTTAGCACAATGGAGTTGCACAGGAGCGGATGAAGAGTTTCCTCTAAGAACAACAGCCGAGCAGCTGGTTTGAACCTTAGTTGTTGATATGCTGCAATAAGATGCAAGAAAAGGGGAGTAAAGATAATCTGTCATCCATTTTTCACAAGTAATTGCCTCTGTGTAGGAAGTGCTGGGCAGGAAATACAATGTAAGTGAGATGAGAGGCAGCTGCGGTTAAACAGTTATGACAAATTACTTTGAGTTCAATGAAACAGGGTTGGATTTGTTAAAAAAAAAATCTAGACTAGTGGTCCCCAAATGGTGGATCAGGACCCAAATGAAGCGTTTTCTTCATCTGAACCATAGTCGGGAGTCTAGTGGGTCTGGACCCCTCACTTTTGGAAAAATAAAGATTGTCCCTCCCAATAAATCATTTAAGAAAACTACAGTAGTCCCTCGCCACGTCGTGGTTCGACTTTCGGACTTGCTCTTTTGCGTTTTTTTGTAAAATTATACACGAGAAAAAAAAAATTGTACACGCTACATGATGTCAACTTTTATATTACTCACGTGATTGGGACAGTACAGGATACTGTACAGTTAAAGTTAATGAAAAAAACTTTGGACAGGTGCTGTCATTTTGTAGTTTTCTCTCATTAAGCCTACACTGTATTGCCACTCATAAGGACTACATTTCCCAGAAAGCAACAGTGCCCCACCCAGATACCTTGTTGTCCTCTGCTGAAATACAAAGAGGGAAGTTTTGATTGGATCCAGAAAAGTTCAGTCGTTATTCATACAGTGACTTCGGCGCCCAGCGTATGCAGAGAGCCGCATGGAACCGACCGGAAACCAGAGCAGAACTGGACCTCCAGACTGGTCTATCTGAGAGCTGCTTTCCAGTCCTCATGGTTTAAGAGTTTAGAACATTGCCAGAGTGTGGGAAGGGTTTATAAAGCCTTAAAATATAAATACTAAAATAAATATAATGTTCCTACTACGGTGTCATACTGGAACCATACGCTCAGAGGAGATTGGGCTTTTTCAGTCATGGGCCCCAAACTCTGGAACAACCTGCCCCCCAACATCAGGCAGACCACCTCCCTTCCTCACTTCAAATCTCTGCTAAAAACCCATTTGTCCTCGCAGGCATTTCATACAGTGTAAATTGATCTAGTGTTTTTTAATCTGTGACCCTATGTTTTAAATGCTTTTTATTAATTCTTCAGTTATTATTATTA